TAATTTGGACGAGTGGCGACTCCCTCTTTTTCATATTTTTCACACTTAATTTTTTCATTGTTTTTGAAAAAAAATCTTAAGTGGTCGTCAACAGATTGGCGACTCCACTGGGGACTGAACTCAAAATCTCTGGTTTTCATATTCTGGGTTCACGAGGGTCGAGCTAATACTTTAACTTTGGGGAATTTTTCAGCTTTCAATTTTCTTTGATTGTTGAGTCTTTGTGGATCTTTGTTATTTATTGTATATGTTTGTGCATGTTGCGTGTTACTTGTTTGCTCATTGTTTTAGTGGTTGCTTTGATCATTTTGTCTTTGAATAGTTACCTTGCTACATCTTGACATGCATCATACCTTGCTTACATGTTCATGCATCATATCATTTCACATGCTCATCCATCATTGATATAACATGCTTATTCATCATGCATCATGCCTATATGCCTACTTGCTTGTTTGTGAATGTGCTAACCTTTTGCATTTGGCATGGGAGTACAAGGTGAGTCCCTTCCTACTGTGTAAATAGGTGTGTTTGTGGATACTATATTTGTTGAGTGCTTTACATGCTTTATTTGATTGCTGTGGAATATATGTTGCTATTTTTGTGGTTGCCATTATGCAAGTTATTGGAGTGTCATGCCCCTTGCACACACTCACTCTCATTTTGCATCAAGTTTGTCTCGGAGGTGAACCCGACCTCTAGTCTGGAACCCTTACGAATCTGGCTTGGAAGAGCAATTCTTCTCGCTTTGAGGAGTAAGATCGGTTCCCATTAGGTTGTTTCCATTGGTTAATACGACACCTGATGATGTAATATCATTCTGTGTATTAGCTTTTGGAAATATCTCCCATTGATTCCGAAAGGATAAATGGTTGAGAAGGCCTAATGCCCTTTAGGAAAGCATGTAATGGCCTTAAAGAGATACCAGCCCTAGGACATGTTTCCCTTAGCATCCCACCCGTGAGGCTAGGCGTCCCGTGTTTAAGACACAAAAGGGGCATTTTTCTTTACTAACTTTGTCTCCGCACATGACAGGTTTTTGTTCTTATATACATTTGAGGTATGATTAGTTATCCATCTTTTGCATTTAGACATCATTCTTGAGGTAATGAGCATTCCATGCATTTCGTATCTTCATTTTCAACCCCATGCATCATTAGAAAAAAAAAAACAAAAAAAAGTTCATGATTGTTTCACATGTCATTTGTCCATCCTACTCATTTCACATTAAATCTTCCATATGTCTTGAAAATTTCACATATGCCCATTGTATTGCATTTTCCATCTCATGCATCATAAAATATGTTTTCATGTTCGTCTTGTGGGGCATTCTTCATCATACTCCTTTTAAATTTCATTTTTCATCTCATGTTTCACAAAAAAAATTGCAAAAAAAAGGAGTAAAATTACATCCATGTTCATTACATTACATCTTCCATCTCATATAAAAATTGTAAAAAAAAAAAAAAAAATCTCATTCACATGCATTTCACATTGCATTTTCTATCTCAAATTTTCATTCCAAGCATTACTATCTCCATCTCATATTTCCCA